TGGTGGCAAAACCCTTGTTGGCAATCACAGAGGTCAGACGTTTCTTGTAGTTGGCCACCAGGTTTGCACACATCTCAGGAGGGATTTTGTCCCACTCCTCTTTGCAGATCTTCTCCAAGCCATTAAGGTTTCGAGGGTGACGTTTGGCAACTCGAACCTTCAGCTCCCTCCACATATTTTCTATGGGATTAAGGTCTGGAGACTGGCTAGGCCACTCCAGGATCTTAATGTGCTTCTTCTTGAACCACTCCTTTGTTGCCTTGGCCATGTGTTTGGGTCATTGTCATGCTGGAATACCCATCCACGACCTATTTTCAATGCCCTAACTGATGGAAGGAGGTTCTCACCCAAGATTTGACGGTACATGGCCCCGTCCATCGTTCCTTTGATGCGGTGAAGTTGTCCTGTCCCCTTAGCAGAAAAACACCCCAAAGCATAATGTTTCCACCTCCATGTTTGACGGTGAGAATGGTGTTCTTGGGGTCATAGGCAGCATTCCTCCTCCTCCAAACACGGCGAGTTTAGTTGATGCCAAAGAGCTCCATTTTGGTCTCATCTGACCACAACACTTTCACCCAGTTGCCCTCTGAATCATTCAGGTGTTAATTGGCAAACTTCAGATGGGCATGTATATGTGCTTTCTTGAGCAGGGGGACCTTGTGGGCGCTGCAGGATTTCAGTCCTTCATGGCGTAGTGTGTTACCAATTGTTTTCTTGGTGACTTTGGTCCCAGCTGCCTTGAGATCATTGACAAGATCCTCCCGTGTAGTTCTGGGCTGATTCCTCACCGTTCTCATGCTCAATGCAACTCCACGAGGTGAGATCTTGCATGGAGCCCCAGGCCGAGGGAGATTGACAGTTATTTTGTGTTTCTTCCATTTGCGAATAATCGCACCAACTGTTGTCACCTTAAATTTGGATTTAAAGCTTTCGTGACTGCAGTGATTCATATTCTTGGTTCTTTCGGTAAAGTCACGTTGAAGGGAAACAATAAAATAATAAAATATATTATTTTATTGTTTCCCTTCAACGTGACTTTACCGAAAGAACCAATAATATGTTGTCACCTCACCAAGCTGCTTGGCAATGGTCTTGTAGCCCATTCCAGCCTTGTGTAGGTCTACAATCTTGTCCTTGACATCCATGGAGAGCTCTTTGGTCTTGGCCATGGTGGAGAGTTTGGAATCTGATTTATTGATTGCATCTGTGGACAGGTATCTTTTATACAGGTAACAAGCTGAGATTAGGAGCACTCCCTTTAAGAGTGTGCTCCTAATCTCAGCTTGTTACCTCGTGTGCACGTGGCTCCGCTGGGTGTGTTGCATTGCAGGGCCCTGAGAGATAGCGGCGGTTTTGGGTGCCTTCATCTAGCGGCGAATTACTCATGACCGGCGATAAGGCAACAGGTTAGCCACCTCTTCTTAATCTAAAACGAACTTAAACGAAGCAAATGCATGGGGAAGCCCAGTGGTTGTACTCAGTGACGGATCAAGCTAGTGCGGGGCCTGTAGCATATGATGTTATAAAGGGGCCCTAAATTACAAAAAAACAGATAAATATTAAAACACAAAATGTTTACTTTCATAGTAGAGTAATTGTATTTTTTCATTTGCTATACAGCCAGATAATACGACAAATCGCTAACCTTAAACACCCAGTCGTTCATAAAAGTTGAAGGCGGTATAGTACTTCAGTCATAGAGCAAGTGCAGAATCACTGAACCGGAATTGATAGCTTGAAAGCGTTTAGCGAGGGGGCCCTTGAAATTGCGGGGCCCGTAGCATATGCGTAGCTACTTTTGCTACTAGGATAATCCCGCACTGGTAACTTGTACTGACTGCACGTGAAATTCCACGTCGCATTGCGTTCGGAGCAGTCGCTTGCCACTCAGTGGCACGCGTTGCAGTCTCGCCCCCGTGTGGCTACCACACCGAAGGGATTTTGCCGTCAAAACTCCGCGCCAGTGAGACGTGAATGGGATCGACGACGCATCAAACTCAAAACACGTTTGTCAATAATGAAACCAACAAATTGTGACGTTTCGGGCCGATGGCCCTTCTTCTAATCACACGCGCATCTAATCTCGTGTCAGAATCTATCCGTGTGTACGGATGAAAAAAATAAGAATAGGTTTTTACCCCTTTCTGTCAATAAAACAGTTTGTGTTGAGATGTTCAAACACCAAGCAGAAACCCTTTGCCAGGAACCATGCCTGCATTGACGATAGGTACTTGTGGTGAACATGCAAACAAAAACACTGGGGGTTAGGGTCATCAGACGGGGCTAGTGCTAGTGACTGGTTGTCTAGGTAGTTAGAGTCATCAGACAGGGCTAGTGCTAGTGACTGGTTGTCTAGGTAGTTAGAGTCATCAGACAGGGCTAGTGCTAGTGACTGGTTGTCTAGGTAGTTAGAGTCATCAGACAGGGCTAGTGCTAGTGACTGGTTGTCTAGGTAGTTAGAGTCATCAGACAGGGCTAGTGACTGGTTGTCTAGGTAGTTAGAGTCATCAGAGAGGGCTAGTGACTGGTTGTCTAGGTAGTTAGAGTCATCACACGGGGCTAGTGCTAGTGACTGGTTGTCTAGGTGGTTAGAGTCATCAGACAGGGCTAGTGCTAGTGACTGGTTGTCTAGGTAGTTAGAGTCATCACACGGGGCTAGTGCTAGTGACTGGTTGTCTAGGTAGTTAGAGTCATCAGACAGGGCTAGTGACTGGTTGTCTAGGTAGTTAGAGTCATCAGACGTGGCTAGTGCTAGTGACTGGTTGTCTAGGTAGTTAGAGTCATCAGACAGGGCTAGTGCTAGTGACTGGTTGTCTAGGTAGTTAGAGTCATCAGACAGGGCTAGTGACTGGTTGTCTAGGTAGTTAGAGTCATCAGAGAGGGCTAGTGACTGGTTGTCTAGGTAGTTAGAGTCATCACACGGGGCTAGTGCTAGTGACTGGTTGTCTAGGTAGTTAGAGTCATCAGACAGGGCTAGTGTTAGTGACTGGTTGTCTAGGTAGTTAGAGTCATCACACGGGGCTAGTGCTAGTGACTGGTTGTCTAGGTAGTTAGAGTCATCAGACAGGGCTAGTGACTGGTTGTCTAGGTAGTTAGAGTCATCAGACGTGGCTAGTGCTAGTGACTGGTTGTCTAGGTAGTTAGAGTCATCAGACAGGGCTAGTGACTGGTTGTCTAGGTAGTTAGAGTCATCAGACAGGGCTAGTGTTAGTGACTGATTGTCTAGGTGGTTAGAGTCATCAGACTGGGCTAGTGCTAGTGACTGGTTGTCTAGGTAGTTAGAGTCATCAGACAGGGCTAGTGCTAGTGACTAGTTGTCTAGGTAGTTAGAGTCATCAGACGAGGCTAGTGATAGTGACTGGTTGTCTAGGTGGTTAGAGTCATCAGACAGGGCTAGTGACTGGTTGTCTAGGTAGTTAGAGTCATCAGACGGGGCTAGTGACTGGTTGTCTAGGTAGTTAGAGTCATCAGACGGGGCTAGTGACTGGTTGTCTAGGTAGTTAGAGTCATCAGACGGGGCTAGTGCTAGTGACTGGTTGTCTAGGTAGTTAGAGTCATCAGACAGGGCTAGTGACTGGTTGTCTAGGTAGTTAGAGTCATCAGACAGGGCTAGTGCTAGTGACTGGTTGTCTAGGTAGTTAGAGTCATCAGACGGGGCTAGTGATAGTGACTGGTTGTCTAGGTAGTTAGAGTCATCAGACAGGGCTAGTGCTAGTGACTGGTTGTCTAGATAGTTAGAGTCATCAGACAGGGCTAGTGCTAGTGACTGGTTGTCTAGGTAGTTAGAGTCATCAGACAGGGCTAGTGCTAATGACTGGTTGTCTAGGTAGTTAGAGTCATCAGACAGGGCTAGTGCTAGTGACTGGTTGTCTAGGTAGTTAGAGTCATCAGACGGGGGCTAGTGATAGTGACTGGTTGTCTAGGTAGTTAGAGTCATCAGACAGGGCTAGTGACTGGTTGTCTAGGTAGTTAGAGTCATCAGACAGGGCTAGTGCTAGTGACTGGTTGTCTAGGTGGTTAGAGTCATCAGACGGGGCTAGTGCTAGTGACTGGTTGTCTAGGTAGTTAGAGTCATCAGACATGGCTAGTGACTGGTTGTCTAGGTGGTTAGGATCCGTAGAACAGCTTCTAGTTACGAGTGGTTGTTTCACTAGTTGGCTGGGGTTATGGTCATCATATGGGCTCTAACTAGTGACTGGTTTACTAGATGGTTAGGGTTTCCAACATTTGTATTTTTAAAGCAGTAACATTTTTAGTTTGCATAGAGAGGGCTTCGTGCTGAGTATACTGCACATGCATTTTCATGAAAATGCCAAATAAAAAAACCTGTGGATGATTCATTTTAATCAAGAAATAGAAGACAAATCTCCCACAACGGACGAGGAGCATCGGGCATCGTTTGCACGTTCAAAGACCAAAACACGTGTTGACGCTTACTTGACGGTCACATCGTTTTGTTACTCTTGGTGGTCCTCCGATGTGTGGCAGGAGCCCCTTCCAGGAATGAAATGGAGGCAGCGACAAGTTTACTTTTGATTTGTGTGTTACTACCACAGCTGCTGCCGCTGTTTGAAGCAGTGCCGAGCCTCTGGTGGCCAAAGCTACGAGTTAGCGGCCCCCCCCTTGACAACCGCCACGAGATATGTTTTCAACAACAGTGTCAAAGAACAACAACAACAACACTTATTTTGCCAAGGCGGTGTGCCCCGTACAGCGTTAAATGTTCGAGACCGTGAGCGTCAGGACGGCAAGAGGAGGCTGCGATATTATAAAAGCCTCTGGCTGCGACCGTGCGAGACTAATTAAATATTGGGGCCCCACCTGACCGATTGCCGTACCCCCTGAGCTGATAACGTCGTTACTACGTCACTGATAATGTAGTTACTACGTCACTGATAATGTAGTTACTACGTCACTGATGATGTAGTTACTACGCCACTGATGATGTAGTTACTACGTCACTGATGATGTAGTTACTACGCCACTGATTATGTAGTTACTATGCCACTGATAATGTAGTTACTACGTTACTGATAATGTAGTCACTACGTCACTGATAATGTAGTTACTACGCCACTGAGTCCAGCCGCAATATACATAGTGAACAACTCCAACCCGACAGAAGTGAACTCCAAAAACACAGCCACAACAACCCACGCGGCGACTGTAATCATCCTTCGTCACGTGCTCAAAGATTCTCTAAGCGTGAACGGACGTGTTGCATGTTTATGTAATAAGCAAACGTGGGCGCACGCCAGACGCTGGTGAGGGTTATAACAGAATGAGTGGTGTACGATGCTAGTCATCTTAAGATCAATGCTGCTTTGAAGCATAATCAAGGCAGGGTGATGGGTTTGCGTCTTGTCCCGTGGTGCAGTCGATTTCCTAAGCGAAGAAGACAAAATACATTGTTGAGCATCAACTTTCGCATTAGATGCAATGCCACTTGGATTGTTCTATAAATTTGAAAAAAACCTGGTTGTATCGTTCGTTCATAATTAACGTTCATATACAGGGCGTTCGGACCGTGACCCAATCGTTCGGGATGCGCTTAATCTTGTCAGACTTCAGAAGCTAAACAGGATTGTGTCTGTGTAGTGTGTGGGTGGATGGGTGACCACCGTACATTAAACAGGTGCGTCAGGGTTGTGCTGTGTTGTGGGCAGCAGAGGGCAGTCCTACAAAAGGTCAAGGCACAGCCTTGCAATGACTTGCTCATGCCACCGCTAAAAAGCTTTAGAGAGCCCGTCGAGAAGGCATGTTGGCCTTCTCTTCATAGCTGGGATCGGGAACATCAGAGAACGTGATAAAATCGTGTGACATTAAAGGATGAAAGCTACTTGGATCTATCAACTCCAGTTTGTGTCCGAAACAGTGGACAAGTGGCGTTGTGGCCATTTCTGGGCGTTTTTTGTACCTCAGAGGCGTCAACATTAGCACGGAGCTTCCACCTTTGGTTTTGTAATTGGGGATGACGAGGGTAGGCGATTAATCGATTAGAGTACATCATAAAGGCAGGGGGAAGAAGGGCAGTTGCATGGATTTCTTGGCTGAAAATCCTCAAGCGGAGCCCATGACACACCACTGTGTTGTGCCATCATGCTCGGCTAAGGATAATGAATCTATCATCGGTAGCAGAGACAGTGACAACAGTTTAACACGGAGGCTTTCGCGACCAAAATCATCCATAATACAGGCTTTCTTTGTTTGGGTTAGATCGCGTAAATATAAATGTGTCGTTAAACCCGCCACCACCCGATAACAGCACGGCATGTTCTGTTTACGTGACAAACTTTACTAATCGTCGGGTGGTGACGGGTTTAACGACACATTTATATTTACGCGATCTAACCCAAACAAAATAAACCTGTATTATGAACAACAACAACAACAACACTCCGGCAAACGATTTTTTTTTTAATCAGAGGATTTGACTTGGCTAAGTGAAGGGCCCCTGAAGTGCTGCGTACAGAGAGAGGGCTTCCCGGCGTATGAGTGTGCGGCCCCAGCGCGTACCTCTAGTTCTCACAGTCCACATCGCTCGGGTTGTCTCCGGAAGCGTTCTCATCCCCGCTGCCCCCATCACAGGGGGGCTTTGTGGGCTTGGGAGCTCCATTGCAGCCTGCAGGAAGTTCCAGGTCAAAAAGGGTGCTACAGCAGGAGCCCGAGCAGCAATTGGCATCATCATCATGGCTAAATATTCACACCGCACCTCTCACGCGATGCATCTCGAGGCCCCCCAGCAGCAGGGGACCCCCCCGTGGCAGCTGTCCCCGTGCGGCGCAAGGTCAGCACAGCACCGGCCACAGCGAGTGAGCGTTAGTCTGCCAGCATGGGGCGATGCTGCTTCGTGGTTTCCCCAGTTAAGTAACTTGTGCGTATCTTTATAAAATTTGGCAAATTTGGACCATGATGCCAGGACACATAGGCCACTCTTTTTTTAATGTTACGGGGATATTTAATGTCCCACTGTTAACCAAGAGGAGGTGCATTTCATGGTTAATGCATCCGCAGTATTAACCAGGGTGGCCCACACTGGGATCGAACTGCAAGTCTCTGCAACAAGCGGCAAACGCGCTACCCCTCAGCCGGGTCACCGCCCGCAAAGATGCGAAATTGCTTCACGAATTTTTCGGCGTGGCCATGCCCAAATCTTCCTCGCACTGTTCCAAGTTTAGTTTGCGCTGCCGTAAGCACAGCCCAGTTACGAGTGGCCGTGCACACAAGGCGCATCGTCCCGCGGCTAACGTGCGCCTGGCCGGGAGGAACACAATGCTGTTGGTGCAAGGGTCAGGGTGTCTCACCGTCTTTCACGCCCCTTGGACAAGCGGGCAGGGCAGGGCAGCGCCGCTTCTCCTCCGCGTCGTTGCGGGGCGTGCACTCCTCAGCCGGAGTTCCCCAGAACGTGATGGGGATGTTCTCATTGTTGGCAACTTCCTTGACGGTTCTTGAGGAACAGGGACCGTGGACATCATTAGGTGGGTGGCTTGCGGGTGGCTGTGCAAAGCTAGAGCCACATAACTTGCTGTGCAAAATATTTTTCTAGGTCCAAAGATTTACAATTTTTTTTTTTACGGAAGCAAGACATTCCTTATTGCTGTCATCGGCCATGATCTATTCGCTGTTGGATGAAGGCCTCCCCACGCTGAGCAGTACGAGTTGCTGATGTGGGGCATGTGTATGTGAGAGCAAAGAAATACAGTCCAACAACGAATTTTGCTGCAATGCTGTCTGCTGCCCATCGGCACAAGGCCTAGAATTAAAATAAACTTTAACTCAGGGTTAGATTTTGGGCTCAGGAATTGGGCTGGTTCTAAGTTGGATTGGGATATGGCAATACTACAATGTATATTGTAGGGTACATAGACTCCACATTATATCAGCCGTTTTGCTAAATATATCGGATATACCATTGCCAATTGTTTTAGAAATAATTTATTACATTTAACAACACACAGACGTGTGATTTTATGAACAGCAGGAAGACCTGACGGCCATAACGCCTTGCGTGTATATCATGTGACCACCACACTGCATGTACAATGCTGTCAGCATTGTCTAAACCACCAGCTCCACAAAGTTCAACGTGTGGCCGTCTCACTGTTGAAGCCACCAACTGTCTCTCTGTCTCACTTCTGCCAACAGGAAATCGCATACTGGTTTCATCCTTATTAGGCCTCATCAGTCCAATATAGTACAATCTATAATATTCACTCTTGCCCTATCCCTCTGAAAGCGCATATATCGAGAGGGCTTGTACCTTTAGCCTATGGGGAACTCCATTAGCACTTGGCTAAAGGCAACAATTATTTAAATCCAACACTTTCTGTACATGATGAGAAAACCCATCACAACAGGAAAAACGACACGCAGGCTGGAAACAAACGGATGGAAGAGGTCAAAATGTCTAATAGATGGACTCTATAGAGCTCCTTGCTTCCAGGCCCTTCCGCCAGCAGTCGTGAGCAATGCATTTCCAAGCTGCACCTTCACCATGGCCCTATCGTATCACGAACAAGCAGTGACACCGTGGCAATGCCTGGCTGTGAACAACGGGAGATGGCCGACGTGGTTACGGGGCTGGTAGTGGGGGACAAGTCTCACTTCCAGCTTGGCAGCGGCGTCTTGCAGACGCGTCGGCGCACACTGATGGAGCACTGACCGCATGGGGGCTGGCAGAGGCTCCACTCGCCCCACTCGCCCCACTCGGGATTTTTCACCTTCAGCTCTGAAAAAAGAAGAGAACGTGAGGAGCCACCCCCCCTCCGCTTCAGCAACGTGACGCAGACAGCGGTCCGAGTCTCTAGGTAAGGGCTCAACGCGTTAAGTGAAGATTCCTACAGCACATCGTTTTTGCTGTGCATGTACACAGACAGCCCTCTTGTCGTCACACTGTCTTATGAGGGCCTACCACCTCTTTCTCCAAGAGGAGGCCAAAATACTTTTTCGAGAGGACGTCTTTGGAGCTCCTTCTAGTGGAGGCCTTTCTGCCAGCTGTGGTGTGAACAAGCAGGTGCAGGGTTGCACCTGTACCACATTTTTCAGTGCTGTGGGGGTGGAAGCGGCGGTGCAGTGGTTAGCGCGCTCCGCTACGAACCCAACATCGTGAGTTCGATTCCCGGCCACGGCTAAACATCGATCGCCGGACCAGTGCTCAGCCTCGCCACCGTTCAGCCAGGCACGCTGACCGACGTGGTGAAGTGCGGCCGAAATTAAACCCCTGACCGACGTGGCACGACGAGGCCTTCGTCCGTCAGCGGATTGAGACCCTCCGTGTGTTTCCACGTGGACGCGTGCGAGGCGCCCGTTACCGCGGGCGGTGCAGTTTTCCAGGTTGTAGCAGGCGCGGATGATGAATCCCTCGCCGATGCACGCCGTGCCCTCCTCTTCTTGCCCCATGCAGATGCGCTGCATCGTCTGCTTGCCCACGCGGGGCCGGCAGCGGTTTTCGTACGGCGTATTGGACATGCACGTCGACCAAGACGACCACTCCGTCCACTTGCCGTCGGCTGCGGGCGACAGGGCATCACGCGGCAAAGGAACCCGAGCTGTACTTGGTAAAAACCGTCAACGGTTTTTTTTCAACACTCCGCCGAATTTTCTGATAAACCAAATCAATTGGCATTGCGTGATGGCTGACCCCCTCTGATGGCCCATCCCACGTGTTTCACAACCCATGCAGTAGCCATCAGCCGTGACCAACAAACGACGCGTAGTTGTGTAGGGCTTAACCGAAAGCTCCAGAGAGCTCCGTCCTGGAAGAGGTGGGGGTACCCACACTTTGCCCCACCGCGCACAGCCTGCCGATCAACTGGTGTACCCATTGAATCCGCTGGGTGGACGGTCTACACCTCTTCTCATTTCACTACATTCCAGTCGTCTGCATCTCTCATGCCACTGCATCGCTATCTCTCGTCTGTGTCTGTTCTGTGATCTCACCAGGAGTTTACAGAGTGAAAGAGGGGGTTGGGGGACAAATATTATCTCCGCTTTGAGCCACAACTCTCACCATTTAGCCAGCAAAGTAGCTCCCATCGGTTGGCTCATTGTAGCAGTAATGAACATTGAGAATTTGTCACGTACGCAGGTTTTATGCACTCTCTGAGGGAGAGAGACAGAGATGTGGAGGCACGTGAAACCACAGACATGCGAGAAGGCAGAACCGGCACTAATAAAAGCCTAGGCTCTGTGGTCCTATATGAATTGGGTAGTTTCGTGACTTTACCGAAAGAACCAAGAATACGAATCCCTGCAGTCGCGAAAGCTTTAAATCAAAAATTAATTGGGTACTTTGACCAAATCCATTCATGAGGGTGTATACATGTGACAGGAAACCAGAGTACTGCGAGAAAACCCACGCGTGCCAGGAGGGGAGTAACACTCAATTCCCATGCAGACGGAAATTAACCCATTTGTTTTACTTCCATAGCACCCTGGCCACGAGCCACAGGCAACGGTGACCTCGACGCCCAGGGGTAGGGATGGAGCTTCGCGACCATCGTGCGATCCACCGTACCGGGGCACTTGTTATGGGAGTCGCACAGCTCTGCTTGGCTTTGCCGTCCGTCCTCGCTGCCGGGGCACAGCCGACCCCCGTACCGCGGTGCGGGGCTGTCGCAGAGCCGGGTGTGGACCCTCGTGCCCAGCCCGCACGTCACGCTGCACCCCGACCATCCGCTCCACCCGCCCCACGCGCCGTCCACTGCGCACATGCCGCACACGGGAACACCACGGACACGCCACGAACGCCATGCACGCCACGCACGCACACTTCATGCACACCGAGCACGGGCACACACACCACGCACACTTCACGCACAGGCACGCGCACCACACACGGGCACCCGATACTCCCATCACAGAGCACTGCTGCCGTGCTGTGGCGAAGAGGCTTTGGTTCCGTGTAAGACCCCGGTAATCAGAGGCGGATCTGTGATCCTCCCCACGGAAATAGGTGAACGGTCCCGAATTGTTAAGATTTTGAATAAAGCCCTGCATGAATAATTTGCCTGATGAATTAAATCGTTAAGTTTTTAGTTTAACCACCAGACTCAGCACCGCTGCTCAGCTTCCAGGTTCTAAAGACACCTGCTTGGAGATGGATGATTGAGCGAGAGAAAACATTATTTACTATTTTTATTTTACCAGGCAAGGCCCACTGAGCTACATGGTTCTTTTTCAGAAGCGACCTGGCCACAAATGATAGTTCAACGAAGTGGCTTATCACGTGGAAGTTTATAGCAGCCAATTACTCTAAACGCATGTTTCTAAATCCTGAGGGAAGCCGCGGAGAAAAATCCACACAACCGCGGGGAGAGAGACACGCAAACTCCAAATATACAGGCGTCAGCGTCGGGATCGAACCCACGACCTTCCGTACACCGGGCAAGGCAGTTAACATCTCGCCACCAAGATGTGACACACTTTAAAGTCACTTTCCGTCACCTTCACCCATGCCCCCTCTGTGGCACCGCCAACCGTACCAGGGCAGGGGTCCAGGTCCAGGCAGGGCCCCGTATCCTGGGAGGCGCCAGGGCACTGGGACCCAGCCGGCGCCAAGGAGGGCGCGGGGCTGTCACAAGCACGGCTCCGCCTCCGCACGGCGCCGTCGTCCCGGCACGTCTTGGAGCACTCGCCCCACGACAACCACGAGCCCCATGCTCCGTGAGCTGCCAGGAGGGCATCGGGCAAGGGGGGGTGATGGGCAGGGAGGGGGGGTAATGCCGATGATAGGTCGTCCGCGCGGCCACAAATGAGACTCCGATGGCCCACACAATTTATCAATTTGAGGCTAAATTAAAGACTTGATTTTCGAACTTGACATACTAAAGGCTTTCTTGGCCAATGCTACGACTTTCTTTTTGCGGAAACTCTATTTAAGGATAATTATTTTCAGATAGTGTACGGATAACTTGAATGAAGCCGGCCAAAAGGAGAGTCGTCTCAAGCAGTTTAGTTTCGCAATTTGGTTTCTTCTCGTTTTTTGTGCATATCGTCTAGAGCAGGGGTGGGGAACCTTTTTTCTGCCAAGGACCATTTGTATATTTAGAACATCATTCGCGGGCCATACAAAATTATCAACTTAAAAATTAGCCTGTTATATTTGATCAAACATTTAATTAACTCACCCCTAATGTGATGGCTGGAACTGCTTATCTTTGGCGAGGCGTGTGATGATGTTAGCTGGTATTGATGATGTTGCTACTCGCAACTGCTTTTCCAGGTTTGCTCCTAGATTTATTGAATTTCGAGTCGCGCCTGCGGTTGCCTTGGCAGGGCCACACCAAATGATTTCGCGGGCCTTATACACCCCGTGGGCCGGACGTTCCCCACCCCTGGTCTAGACTGTTGTATTTCAACATTTGTCATTTTTTTCAATCACTTCTTTACTGAGCATTTATCTCAAACACGCATTTGTTCCCCCACCTGCATACATACTGCATGGGTCGTGCGGCATAAATAATAAATTATGATGATGACGTAGCAGTGTTGGCAGTGGGCCCTCGTGCAAGTGATAAAATGAGAACCTCACTCTACTTTGTCCCCCTTCTCTTCATAGCTCTCAGTGCCTTGGCGTCTCCAGCCCATGGGCCCCTACAGTGCCGTTGCATTGCTGGCACACTCAATAGCCACACCACTGCAACGAACTGAGAAATACTGAGGATATACTCGTATCAGTTTAGGGTAGGTCAAATATCCTCTTGAGGGCTCTCACGAGAGGTCCCTCCAGTGGAGGCCCTTTGGGCAGCAGCAGCAGCAGCACGAGCGGTCAATTGCAGGGCTGACTCTAAAAGAAAAACCACGGTGGATCACAAACGAGAAATGGAGTTTGAGAAATCCTGACCCGCACCGCCACCCCAAACTCACGCCCTCTCCATCCACGGCCAGCAAAGTACTCACTCGGGCAGATCTGTCCGGTCTGACAGGCCACGCTCTCGCTGCCTGGGCCGTCGCAGCGGACGCCGCACGCATGGGCACCCTCACACGTTCTGGTGCGACGTTTCTGTCCCGCCTCGCATGTGACGGAGCAGGCAGACCACTGCCCCCAGCTGCCCCAAGCACCTCGCACTGTGTTGTGCACGGATGTGCAGACAAGCGGCGACACACGCACGCCAAGGGAAGGGCCCGTCGCAAACTCTTTCACGCATTCACACATTGGCCCATTGGCTCAATCGTTGAATCAAGGTGGTGCTCACAAACTCAAATGGAATCATCAATTCCTAACAATTTGTTGTTATATTGTTGGTTGGCTTCCCGATGTTATGCCATTGGTGCGAGAGGTGTCACGTCACGAGACAAAGTATCCATTCGGATCTCCTCCGGAGTCAAAATTACATTTAATTTCAATTAAGCGCAGAGCCAAATTCTATCTAATGGTCTTTTCATGCAGTCATTGGCGACCACAATGAGACCATCGCCTCAGCACTGCACTTATAGACTGGGGACGTTTACTCACTGGAAGCTGCTTGGATTCAGCCATGCCAGCTCAGCGCTCTGACCTCTGAGCCACTGGGGCCACCTATTTTTTTTTCAACAGTGAAAACTCTCCTATGGATCTCACCGAGTAGTCTAAAGTGGCCCTCGTGTCGCCAACCGAGTGGCTTTGGCTAGAGCCATCGATTTTCCTTGAACTCTGTAACCAATCTTGGCCAACCGTGTAGCCTGCATCTGGGCCAGAGATTCCCGCAATAATTTAGGCAGATTTTATTTTATTTTAGCTGTAGTCTAACTGTAGTTGACAGAATGTCTGAGTCGGTGGATTGTTTAGAGTCACTCTCTTATTCTAATCGACTATAGCAGTCAAAAACTAAATCGGTCTACTCTTCGTTATCAGATGTTGGTGTGAGGGTCGCACACATGTTTTACACTATAAACATCAGATAACTTATTTCAAACAAGATGTACAGTGCCCTGCAGTCTCATATAAAGCTTCTAAGTTATCATAGTTTCCGTTTTCAAACTGGTTCATTTCATATTGTTATAGTCGGTTATGCTTTACAATGTGGTGGTTAGTCACAACCGTAATGCTTGAAAATGTTCATTCGCTCGGTCATCGTTAACCAAAATGAAATGAAAACACTTCGCTGGTGAATATATTTTTTTATCACTAATTTCATCAACAAAATTAACACTGACACCGATTGACCTTCTTCACCGAGGCAACCAACTGGCCAGCCTGTACTGGACCACAGACGCACCATTCAACTTTCTCACGGAGTCGTCTTTGCCTGGGCCACAAATCAGCCCTGGAATGGGCCCCGCAGAGTGGCCACGAACCAAGCCACGCCAGCTCTGCCCAGTCCCCTCACCTGGGCAACAGACGCCTGCGTTGCAGATGCGGACCTGGAAGCGTTGATCCAAGGGATGTAATTCGTTGCATGCGCCCGTTCCGATGCAGACCTTGGCCCGAGAGCTGACGCCACTGCCACACGAGGCGCTGCAGGGCGACCAGTCAGACCACGCGGACTGGAACGCCTTCCTGTTCGGCGCACAGCGACATTTGGGTTAAGGCTCCGTTGCAGCGAGGCGCCCTCGCAAGTTGACGCGTTGCGTTCCACCGTCTCCGATCACTTCCAGGAGCACCTTACACTTGTTGTCGTCGCCGTATTGCAGTTTCATTCACGGGGGGGGGGGCAAAGAAGCGAACGCGGCAGCTCGTTGCTGCTGCCAATGTGCAGCTGCGCACAAGGGGCGCGAGGCATCTTCGGTCACGAGCAGTGCCGGATGAAGCTCGTGCGGGGCCGCTAGCATTACCTACTAAAATGAGCCAAGAATGTCTGTGTGTCCCGCGCGTGACGTCACGCCACGTCGATCAGCCCCCCCCCCCCCCATGATTAATCATGAACAGGTTACGTCCTCCATATGGACCTCCCTCCATTAATAATAATTAGCGGGTGACGTCACTCCACATGGGGGAGGGGCGAGGCGCCTCCTCCCCCCTCCTCGGCGTCAACTTACAACCCTCACTACAAAGGCAGAACCCTCACGTCACGTGATCTCCGTGACACTGTTGAGACATCGAAGTAAAAAGGACGTCGTGATGAACAAGGGATTATAACCTTTAAATGAAATAAGTCTGTGTCACCGCGGCCTTACAAACTGCACACGAATTGATGCAATGAATATCACGTCGCGGTCTGATTTGCGCTTGCAAGTTTCAGATTTACTGCAATACACCCGTCCTTGGACAGGCAAAAGGGTAATATGTTATAAAGGGGCCTTAAATAAAAAAAACACGTAAATATGAAAGCACACATTTTTAACTGACACAGTAAAGTAATTGCCAACAGCATTAAAGTAATAATCAGCCACGGCAGAAGTGTTGATCCTACTGTGTTTCATTACTTTCATGCGGTTGGCTCACACGAAATTGATTTCTCCAAGACGATGGATCTTTGCAAGCCCACTGGCTATCAACAAAGATTTGTTCATTAAGCCATCCATATATACAGACACAGACACAATTTCAACCAAGATGATGGGTACAAACTCAGGAATCATTGGAAGTACGTCATCAACCACTTAAGTCATAACTGGTTGTGATGTTTTCTCCTTGTAGCCTTTCGTCCCTTTCCTGTCACCTTCTGTGCTTCACCTTGGCGGTTTCTGACCCCAAGGCCCCGCCCACTTCGTTCTGTTACCAGGATGCTTGTGCCACGCCCCTTTTTAAACCTTTAAAAGCAGCTTGCATTCAGTGGCCTTACACCCTTTTTCCTCGTGATGACGATCGCTTGTGTTTTGATCGAAACGTCGTAGTTTATTTTATTTTATTTACTTTTATTTTTTCTATCGACGTGACTTTACTGAAAGAACCAAGAATATGAATTTCTGCAGTCACAAAAGTTTTAAGTAAAAAAAATATATAAAACGGTTGAGCCCAGGCCCAAATAATAGAAATGCCAAGTGACCAGCAACAAGCAGCGCAATCAAAGTTGCAATATAGATTACAAAACGATGTTTGATCGAGCAAGGTTATTCAAACTTGGAGGAGTAGGATGGGGGGGTGGAAGAGATGATGGAAAGGAATTTCAAATCCGAGCAGTCCAAGGAAAAAATAAGAAAGAAGGAAAGTTTTTGGACCTGCAGTGCTGGTGGTTCAACAAAGTACGAATGGGACGAAACGGTCAGTCTGGTAGATCGAGTCCTCGGCATGGGTGGAGGAATGGACGAGCGAAGTTAACGGCACAGTATGCAAGCATGTTGAACTTATTTCGCAACGTACGTAGCCAACCGTGCTCATCGGGAGTATCGCTACGACCAGTAAACAATGGCAGTAGCGATAGGAGAGCGAAAAGGAGACCAGAGTGAATCGGTCATCAGTCGGCCCGACTTGCTTCAACGTCGCTTCGTGCGGCCGCTCACCGGCACGCAGCGCATGCCCTCCCTTGTGGCGCAAACCCAAAGGTCGGGTTCCGGCAGCAGGCCTCCTGGGACGTCTTGTGACCGAGCAGCAGCTCCTTGCTGCACACACCGGTCCTGGGGTCCACCTCTGTGTAGCACGCTCCCGAGGCTGCAGGGCAGGGAATTGCAAGTCAGTGCTATTTTAACAGATTTAAGATCGCGGTTACTGACCCGGTGGGTCAGCGGTTAGAGGCAGTGGCTCGTGAATGGGAAGGTGGCGTGTTTTTAGAATCCGCGTGGTTGTTGACTCAACCCATCGTTTTTATGGGGTCGATAGAACGGTGACCACTTTTGTGGAGAAGTCAATAATTGGTCGTCCCACGTAAAAGGGAAGTCCGCACGAGCGGTCTCAGGGGGACAGGCACTTCATTCTTGCCGCACCCCCAACCAACACACGCACTCGCAGGACGCTTTACCGCCAGAAGACCACCATGCACCCCCCCCCCCCCCTCCTTCACACTCTCTCAGTGCCGGATTAAGCTAGTGCGGGGCCTGTAGCATATGATGTTATAAAGGGCCCTAAATAAAAAAAAACATCAATATTAAAACACACATTTTTAACTTGCATAGTAAAGTAATTGACAAATCTCTAACCTTAAAAACCCAGTCGTTCATAAAAGTTGAAGGCAGTATAGTACTATAGTAATAGAGCAAGTGCAGATTCACTGAACCGGAATTGATAGCTTGAAAGCATTTAGCGCGGGGCCCTTGAAAGTGCGGGGCCTGTAGCTTATTTAGCTACTTTTGCTACGAGGATAATCCGGCACTGCTCTCTCTCCCTTCCCTCTCGAACCTTCCAGAAGGTTCCCTCTCTCTCCTCGTCCACCTCCCATTCTCCATTTATCGACTTATCCATTTTTTACCCGCCCCTAAAACCGTCTTTCACATCATCATCATCATCATCCTGTTTTCCCACCTTTTTCTCAAATTTCAGCCAATCCCATGTGCCGCTTCCCAGCAACTGTTGCCCCCCCCCCAACCGTAGTTTATAAATGTATTACCCTAAGGCAAGTGTCCATAAAGAAGGGGTTTGTGTGTGTTTTAGATCGTGTAAGTAAAAATGTGTCGATAAACCCGCCACCACGCGACACAGCCAGTTGGTAAGGCCGTGGTTCTCAAAGCTTCGTGGCTCCCGTACCCCCTCTGGTTGAATTTTGTTTCAACCGAGTAACGCCCTTGCCTGACCCAACATGGTTCTGAGAAATAAATGTGTGACTAATGAACATCAATATTTTAATCACTGGTCCGTTTTGTAAGGTATATCCTAACTAGCCAAGGGGCCATCCATAAATGACGTCACGCGATTTTGGACGATTTTTAACCACCCCCCCCCCCTCGTCACAAAAAGTGAGACCCCCCCTCAAATATGACATCACAAAGCTGTACTCCAACCCCCCCCCCCCAAAAAAAACATGCTTCAAATCGCTTTAAACCATTGTCATTGTAGTGCGTATTTAATGTGGCGCTGTACTCTGTTAGAACGTATTCTTGGTTTAATAATAGGGTTTTCCCCCTTTTTCTGGCAACAAAACTGAAATATTTTTACAAGGATTCATGTCTGCACTAACCACAATACCTGCAGTCAAAATGCAAACAAAAAACATATTATAATATATGCATTGTCCTTGAAACTGATTGGTCCACACCAAGGGACGGCTTTCTTTTGAGCCTCAACCCAATTGGTGCTCGACCAGATGACGCCAAAAGGCGTACAGCTCAAAGACAATACACTATCAAAATAATGAGGGCTCGGGGTGAGCATCTACATCATTAGACCTCCTTTGCCAGTACCAAAATGTAATAATAGGGTTTTTCCCCTTTTTTCTGGCAACAAAACTGAAACCTTTTTTACACGGATTCATGTCTGCATTAACCACAATACCTGCAGTCAAAATACAAACAAAAAACATACTATGATAATATATGCATTGTCCTTGATACTGATTGGTCCACACCAAGGGATGGCTTTCTTTTGAGCCTCGACCCAATTGGTGCTCGACCAGATGAGGTCTAATGATGTATTCTTGGTTCTTTCGGTAAAGTCACGTAGAAGGGAAACAATAAAATAATAAAAATATGAAACAACTGACTCTACCGAAAGAACCAAGAATATGAAGAATGTGAATCCCTGCAGTCACGAAAGTTTTAAATCAAAATTTAAGTAAAACGTGTTGTCCATATTTATTTAAAGTTGCACCTTTAGATGTGACGTCACATTTCTCAAACCATCCCACCCCCTCGTCACATATCGTCACAAATGCCTGACCCCCCCCAGGTGCGTGACGTCATTTATGGACAGCCCCTAAGTCAACTGCGAGCGGATAAAAACAATCAACGGACGCTCTGCACGCGTGACGTCATTTGTTACGCGCTCGCTCGTAACCCTTGGTTCCCACCACCCGACTCAAAAGAACTCTCTCATCAAAACATTATACCATAGGGCTCATTGCATTTCTGACCAACACCACCTGGCCAGTGAATCAAAACATGTGCATCTGGCCCTCAAGATGAACGGATACTCTGACCGTACCATCCGCAAAGCTGTTTCTCCCACCATACAGAAACAACCACCTGATACTCCAATCAAAATCATCACGTTACCATACATAGCAGGCGTTACAAAAAAAAGATTTCCAAAATTCTAAACAAACACAAGATCCAGGTCCGGTTCAATACAGTACACAAAATCCGTGATCTGATCCCATCCGTAAAGGATGTCATTCCTGACTTACAGTACCCCGGTGTTTACAAATTTAGTTGTATCTGCGGTGACTGCTATATCGGGGAGACGAAACGACATATTTCTGACCGATTCCGCGAGCACAAATCAGATTTGAAACACGGCAGAACGAATTCTTCGGCCGTGGCTGATCACTGTTTCAACACAGCAGGTTCTCATGAGATTGTTTTCTCTGATTCCAAAGTTCTCTGCAAACCTCCCGGTTATTACCAGAGATTTGTCCATGAAGCCATCCAGATATACAAACACAGACACAACTTCAACGGAGAGGATGGTTTCAAATTGAGCAACCATTGGAAAGATGTTATAAATCAAGTCAAACGTTAGCTGCCTTATAATTGTACAGCCATTTCCATCTCTCAGTGGGTTGTATGCCAAACTTTAGCTGCCTTATAATTGTACAGCCATTTACATTGCTTTCTAAAAAAGTGAGGCTGTACTCGATTTCGTGCAGTGAAGTTTAACAAAAGGCTGCTTAACTCAGCCCTCCCCCCCACCCACGTCCCTTCTTGGCTCCTCCCTTAACCTGTATATAATCTCGGTTGTCTCAGAGCTCTCCACGTGACACGATATTCTGCTGTGACTATTCCACCTGAAGACGGAAGCTTGTGTTGCCTCTGAAACGTCGTGATTTAATTTAGTTGTTTTATTTTATTTTACCTACGTGACTTTACCGAAAAAAACAAAGAGTATGCATCCTTGCAGTCACGAAAGCTTCAAATCTAGAACCCTTGAAAACTCGCATTGTTCACGATCAATGAGTTTAGAAATATATTTTATATCCTTCCAGGTTACCATTTAGATTAACATTTTGTCACAGTTTTGCTTTTATTATTGACAGATTCACACATGATTATTCACCAATAACTCTCATGTATAATATAATTTCACACATTTATAAATAACCTCACGTACCCCCAGGGGTCCGTGTATCCCCGGTTGAGAACCACTGCCCTAAGGTGGCATTACATAACCTTTACAAATAGATGCACTCGCCCCTGCCATGGGAATGAGGAATTGCCACCCCTGGCTCAAGGCTGTAAACAGGAGATGCGCACCACCTCCTTGCTCATTTGAGCAGGAAATCACTCGGACGTTTGACTATAACACGAGGCCAACTTTAATAGCAATAAAACACACAATTTATAGCGCGCACATATTGCATGGACCGTGAAATTGCAGGCAATTGTCATGGGCAGCGCATTTGTTACGAGCGACCACAGTGACTTGTTATGGCTTCACATAGCTCCATGGTTAAACAAATCAAGTTTATTTGTTTAACCAGGCGAGAACTCCAACAAGACACCACAGACATTCTAAGTTGCCAGTGATTTGGGTCACAAAAATTTGACAAAAGTAATAACTTAAAATATCGCACACAGCAAGTAAGTCAATAGAAATCAGAGGAAGGACATACACTTTACAGGAGACATCTAAAATACTGTACAAACATGAGAATAGGTTTTCCTCTTTTTTCTGGCAAGAAAATAGGTGTTAAGATGTTAAAACACCAAACTGAACATTTTACAAGGAATCATGTCTGCATTAACCACAATATTTGCGGTCAGAATGCAAACAAAAAACAAACTCTGATAATATATGCATTGTCTTTGAAACTGATTGGTCCACACCAGAGACTGTAAAAAACCTAATTATGAGTACATACATACTGTCTAGTTTATTGAAAAGTCACCCCTTGCAGCCAAGAGAAACGCTACCATCTAAACAGGAATCAATTATTGAACTGACTCACGATCCCAAATCTCAAGGAACTCGCCCATTGTTTCAAACGCAATACCTACAGAGTCAAGGGTAATGAATTTGTAAATATCCTCAATAACAAATGAGCCTCCGAAATGTTGCCGATATTCCAGCGACATCACCACGGTCAGATTCCGCAGTTCCAGAGGGTCGGGTGGATTTTTCTCCGGGTCCTCCGGTTTTTCGGGGTTTCCTTCCACGTTTAAAATCAACAACACGCGTTTAGAGTATTTGGCTGCTATACATTTCCACGCGATAGGCCTCTTCCTTGAGCTATCATTTGTGGCCAGGTTGTTTCTGAAAAAGAGCTCTATAGCTCAGTGGGCCTTACCTGGTAAAATAAAAATGGTTTAGTTTATTCGTTTTTAGTTCTTACCAGGCTGTGCTGCTCCTGTGCTCACCAGGGCAGCTATCACGGGCAGCCACAACCACGCAGCCTCCACGGTGAGCGACATGGCAGAGTGTGGCCCAGAGCCATTCGGTGCCGACTCTTATCGGCTCGAAGCGCCGGTTTGTGATGGGGCTGTCACTCGCTCACCCAGCCATGCACTGCCAGCATCCTGTTTTTCTGCTCGTTGGGCATAAAACGAGAATGAAAGACACGAACAACAACAACAACAACAAGAAGAACGATTGTGCCTGTGAAAGGCCACAACATAATGTGCAATGGAAATCTGATTTGTGCAAATCTTTATGAATCTGGAAGTGATTTTTAGTTCATGGTCGCCTTAAAACGTTGCCTTCAAGGCAACCAATTTGCTGCCAGGATTTGGGTGTCATATCATTATCATAATCAGTCATGATCAGTCTGCTGCTGGGTGAAGGCCTCCACGAGCTGCCTCCATCTCTCAAGATCCGGCGATGCAATAAGCAACCTAAGTACGTGAACGTGAGCTGATCTTCATTGCTCCATCTCCTCGACGTGTCCCACTGGACGCGTTCCATTCCTTGGCTGCCCGTCGATCACCGGCCAGCGGCCCTTGTAGCGGAGTCTCCTGCCCAGCTTGTTTGATGAGATCAGAATTGTCGGAGAAAGACACCTGACGAGGAAAAGTCCACACACTCAGAGGTGCTTTCCTAGGTCAAAACGGGGCATACTTTTCTCTATTTTAGAATTTCAGTTACTTAACTGAGTAAAGTGCTGTGGGTGGAGTGGTGGTGCAGTGGTTTTCACACTGCGCTGTCAACCCGGCAATTTGAGTTCAATTGCTAACATCAGTGGTGTGTGATCTCTGAACCAGTACTGAGCCTCCTTGCCTTTCATCAACCCGGACAGATGGCTATGTATGGTCCGACAACCTCTCACGACTGACACGGCATGGGGAGGCTTTTATTCAGCAGTGGATTAAGGAAGGGCTGTAGATTATTTGTATTACTACTATCCAACCGTGTTAACCAGAGCTGGGCTCTCCAATTATTTAAGTCGATCGATTACTCAACCCATTACCGATTCGGTCACTCGACTCATCAATTGGCTCACACAAAAATGAAGTTGAGTTAAATAAAGTCTCACTTCTGATCACACACGTGTGTCGCTGGACGGGAGGTAATGGGCCCGAGTGATAGGCCACGCACAACGTAGTTCATTTACAATTTTCTTAGGAATCCAATTGATTTTAAATTGACTCATTGTCCCTGGCCTAGTTTCAATGCACCCTGCCGAGAGCTCTATATTTAAACATGGGCTATTTATTTAACCTTCAGGGTTCCCCTGCTGCAGGGAACACAAGCCACACACTGCACTCCGAACAGAGGAATTTACCCATGACCAGCTGGGAGCACATTAACGCCTCGTCATGTGGTTACGCGGTCGTGTGCGACACAGTATTGCCGCAAAGGCGATGCCTCCTATAATGTGATCCGTGCAGCACCGGTGGCACGTGAGCCATCTGACAAATAGTCCATGCACGTGTATGTGTGTGCACGTCTTTTCCCTTGTAATACCGTACAATGTATAGCATTGTACGTACTGAAGGTATTAGAGTCAAGAGAGCAGTAGTTGCGTGTGTGTATATGTGTATGATGAATGTGTAGTGGAATAAATAGGCGCATGGGGGGTAATTGGTGAGATTGCGCGGGAGCAGGGCAGTAGGGGGTCATATTGGGACGATGAGGTAACGATTGGGCCAATTAAGCTGGGGGAGCCAAGGACGACTGTGATTGGCTGGAGTTGTTGTCAGTGCTGGAGTGTGATTGGCTGGAGTTGTTGTCAGTGCTGGAGTGGCGTCTTGAAGTCTGGCGAGGTAACAGGCGCACGGGCACGCGGAGCGTCGTTGGGATGCGGGTTAATTAATTGGGGTGTAATGAGAGCGGGGATAAATTGGGGAGACGTGATGAGAAACGGGGAGTTGGAGTCGGGGGCTGGACGAGGCAAGACGTGGAGCAGCTGAAGAGACGAAGCAGTTAGCAGTGGAGAGAGTATAGTGATAGCGAAGAGCGGAAGACAGAGAAGAAGCAGTTAGCAGTGGAGAGAGCACAGTGATAAGCGGAGAGCAGAGACGAAGCAGTTAGCAGTGGAGAGAGCATAGTGATAGCGGAGAGCAGAGGCGAAGCAGTTAGCAGTGGAGAGAGAACAGTGATAGCGGAGACGAAGCAGTTAGCAGTAGAGAGAGCACAGTGATAGCGGAGAGCGGAGACGAAGCAGTTAGCAGTGGAGAGAGCATAGTGATAGCGGAGAACAGAGACGAAGCAGTTAGCAGTGGAGAGAGAACAGTGATAGCGGAGACGAAGCAGTTAGCAGTAGAGAGAGCACAGTGATAGCGGAGAGCGGAGACGAAGCAGTTAGCAGTGGAGAGAGCACGGTGATAGCGGAGAGCGGAGACGAAGCAGTTAGCAGTGGAGAGAGAACAGTGATAGCGGAGACGAAGCAGTTAGCAGTGGAGAGAGCATGGTGATAGCGGAGAGCGGGGAGCAGAGACGAAGCAGTTAGCAGTGGAGAGAGAACAGTGATAGCGGAGAGCGGAGACGAAGCAGTTAGCAGTAGAGAGCACAGTGATAGCGGAGAGCGGAGACGAAGCAGTTAGCAGTGGAGAGAGCACGGTGATAGCGGAGAGCGGAGACGAAGCAGTTAGCAGTGGAGAGAGCACGCGGACAGCAAAGACGAAGCGGTTAGCAGTAGAGAGCACGGTGATAGCAGAGAGCGGGGAGCAGAGGCGGAGCAGTTAGCAGTGGAGAGAGCACAGTAATATCGGAGAGCAGAGACGAAGCAGTTAGCAGTGGAGAGAGCATAGTGATAGCGGAGAGCGGGGAGCAGAGGCGAAGCAGCCAGCAGTGGGGGAAGCACAGAGACATCGGAGCTGACGGAGAAGTGGAGATTGGAGAGACAAAGGTGGCGAGCGAGTCGAGTGAAGCACGGCGAGCGAGCTGTGGCAACAAGGGAACTATGGAGCATTGAGGACATGTGGAGAACTGTAAATAAAGTGGTGTTGGAAGAAAGACAAAAGTTGTCCGAGTGAAATCAACCACAACAAATGTATACATTTCAATTATCACCTCCCATGTCAATCCACTGCTGTATGTTGAACTTTTTCCGCACTACGTGACAACCCTTACTAATTGGCTGTGGCGGGTTTAACGACAAATTTGTATTTACGCGATCTAACCTAAAAAAATATACAACCTCTTAATTATATTGGTCGCGAAAGCCTACGTGTTAGACTATATTTACTGTAAACCGACATTGTAAACCATCGGATTTATGAATCCTGAAATCTTTGATGTCGCTTAATTACAATTTATTTCTGGGGCTTACAATGAAGAAAAGCTGGCTGGACTTCAGATTATGTCGTTAAAATGTTGGTACGTGAGCGAGCAAAGTTTGGGAACTCAGGAATTTTGCTCTTTGGCTACGGCAGGAATCACGAGCCTTTAGTGAAGGTTAAATTATTTTCCCCAGGTTAAATAAGCACTTGGCGAGGCAGAGAGTGCAGGGGAAACCGGTGGAATTGGGATAAATGCCAACGAAGAAAATCATTGACGCTGCACCTGCTCTGCCGTGTTAACAAAATAGCACGTGTGCGGTTGACTGCAGTCGACCTCAAACACAAAGATCCCCCGTGTCGCCTTAAACAGACTGCTGGGGCAAGTGCTGTTCGCGAGCACCTATGAAGGCTGGCACGGTGGCACGCACCACGCCCGGCCGCCTTTGGCAGGTGCTCACTTGAGGCCGAGTCGGATCTCGGCCGCTGGTGTTGGCCGTGAGCGAGAATGTGACTAGGGATCTCTCCCAACCTCGTGGGGCGGCCCCCTGACCGCTACACGACCGCCTGCCCCCGCGTCGTCAAGGTCTGTCACAGGTCTGGCGTGGCAAGGACACCTTTGAGCGAGTGGAAATCGAGGCAGTAATTCGCCGGGTGGCGGAGGGAGGGAGCCGGGGAAGGAGGAGAGACCCCCATCGCATCCCTCGTCCTGGCGCAGGCGAGCTGTTGGGTTTAACATCGTGAGTTTTGACACGTAACAATCCACATGAACGCGTAAATGTGGCCTACAGCAGGTAACTGCAGTAGGTTGATGCTGCCGTGGTCTGATGGCTGTTAGCAAGCTGGGCTCACAATACGGAGATCGCCAGTTCGATCGGACCTCCCGGCGTGGCAGCTGACACAATGGGCACGTCTGCTTAAATCTCCCCCCCCCCTCCCCCGGCTCTGTCCACCCACCAGCAGGTGAATGTTGTCACCACGGTCCATCGGCAGTGTACATGTGGTGGTGGGTGGGTCACAGCGTGGGGTGCTCCCCCTGATGCCTGGCCACTGGTCTTAGGTATTTCACCCACATTTGTTTACTTGATTGTAATAAGTGAGACGTGGGGCTGCGCCTTCACCTGGGGGTGTGGGGGGCTCATTCCCCTCCAGCCAATTGCCCCCCCCAACCGACACTCAGCATCCCAACGCACGACTACGAGCCGATTGAGAAGTTATCTGCTGCTCCTGAGGCTCCTCACCACTCCTGGAAGCCACTTGCATCGTGAATGTCATGCCGCGTCACTGTGAACGTCACTCATAATTCCCTCCTCACATGTCGACCAGACGGACTGTGTCGTCACAGTCAACCACTACACTGCAGGTCACAACACGCTCACTCACTCATCCATGCACTCACTCACCCACTCACTCACTCACCCACCCACTCACCCACCCACTCATCCACTCACTCATCCACTTAGACAGCCACCCACCACACTGCAGGTCACCACCACACTTCTCTTTCCACTTCTTCCCTCCTCTTTGTAATCCTCCTCCCATCGTCGTCTCTCTCCCTGCAAGCTCTCACCGTCACCTTGCTTAATAAAAAAAACGTGTCACCACCCATTTATTATACACATATATGAATAACAAACTGATATATTTATCAGTTTAACTGATATATTTATCAGTTTAACACGTAGGCTTTCGCGTGTTGGGCCTTTGGGCCTGTGCTCAGCAAGTGTTTAAAAATAATTCCAAAAAGTCACTTGCAAGAGTCAATAAGCCGAAGTGAAACTCTCCTCGTCTGATCACGCGAGCAGTGGCTGAGTGAGGGTTCAAGAATTGCAATCACCACCAGTGGACTGCTGCTGCTGCTGCTTCAGCTAAGTGTTTGTTATCAAGTTCCCATCATCATCGTCATCAGCAGTGATTCATTTCCACACGGCATCATTGTTCGCCCTCTTTGGGAGCAACGCAGTTCGCCTCCTATCGCCTTCACAGACTGTTGGAGCAAGTGCAGTTAGCGAGCACCTATTGTGGGCTGGCACGGCACACCAAGGTGGGTGGCCAGCACCACACCGGGCCGCCTTTGTCTCCCTAGTGACGATGTGTACTCATCGCACCCGGTATTCAGTCGAGGCTGAGTCGACCCAGGGGAGGTCAAGGACCGGTTCAAAGATTCGATACCGTGATTGCTCACGAGCTCAGATCGCCGGGTTCGTAGCGCCGTGCGCTAACCACTGCGCCACCGCTCCACACCCCACACCACCGATCAGCACGGTTGGCTACGTACGGTGCGAAAGAAGT